AGAGAGAGAGAGAGAGAGAGAGCTTGGTGACATTTGGATCCAGACTCGACATTGGACTTCAGACATATCGAAGAGGGATTATTTGGGATTTGAAAGGAGACTTGGTGTTGACGACTTTCCCATCTCCCCCTTCCTCTTCTTCGTCTGATCCCCTCCTCTTCGTCTGTGTATGTCTGGACCTGGCGCCTCTTTCCTGTGTATAGCGCCAGGCTCCTTCACACCTTGGGATGGACATGATGCATGTTTGGTCTGCGTTTAAACATTGATTGGGCTAGTCATTTGCATTCTAGCATTCTGCTTCGCTATCTTGTGCTACGTGAATGAGGTCAGTCCCAGTCAGGTCAGGACTTGTATCTAAAGTCTTCCCTGCGCTATAAAAGCACCATTTTGTATGTATCGGAATGCGCATTGCTTGTTGAGATTCTACTTGCACTGCATTGTCCATTCAGTCCTTTTTATCACATTGTGGATCCTCGGTTATTATGTACATCGCCCAACTGGGCATGTAACACCTTCCCTCCCCCCCCCTCCCCTTTGGTTGGGCTTGGTAGATGATAGATGATTTGTGAGGGTAGGTTCTCCGCTTGGGTGTCAGTCAGGCAGTTAGGCAGTGAGAGGTATGTCAAGAGACGCAATAAAAAGGGAAAGAAAAAATGCATGCCTTCTGAGGGCTGTCTTCCATGAAAAAAGGCCATCTGTCCTTGTCGACAGGCCAGAACTTCCACTCCTGGATCGAATGCCGCCTCTTCACTTGTGGTTGTCCACGAAAAATCAGCTGCCAATTTAGGTGCTTGATGTTTATTCTATCAGACCATCAGCACTCCTGGTATCATCAAATGTTCTATTGTGAATGTTCAAGATCAGTTGTGTGAAGTATCTCATCAAGTCTCATCTCAATCAAGCGTGAGAGTATGTGATGGTGATTAGAATTTAGAAGTGAATATGATGATTATGAGATATCTCTTACCTCCTTTGTAGTGTGTCCAGACATGCATTCATGCAGTTTCTGTCAAGGTTTTGTATTTAAAAAATGTGCTGCTTTTGTTGCTACAAACATTGATGCATCTATGGCATTGCTTTAACATCATATTCATGTCGCTTCAGTGTTTCAGACATGTACATGTTCATTCAGCTCTGCATTGGCATTCCCACTGTTCCTTTTTGCGCACTCTTTTTGTGGTGGATACAGTCCCTATCCCCCCCCCTAGGCTGGTGCCGTTCATTTGACACATTTACGACGCATGCCTTGCAGTCTGTTTGATCAGGCTGGCTCACAAAGTTGCTTGGATGATGTGCTTGGATTTCACCTTTGCTATCCCTTCTGTTGGCATGGTAAAGCCAAATGCTGTTTACTGACGTTCGGTGGGCTTTTGGTCATTTGTGAAGCCACAAGCCATCTCTGTTCTTTTACACCGATGTTGGCTATAAGCATCAGAAGAGCAAATTTGATGAAACGAAACCGGTATATGATAGGCGGATGATGATGAAGATGATACAAATGGCGCGAAAGGTGGATGTCCGGGGTTGATATTGCTTGCCATGTTTAGTCTTTTCTTTCAGGACTTTCAGAACTGAATCTGGCTGTAATTGCCGCCAAAGACATTCAGGAAAGTGCTAATGTGAGTCCATGCCTGTTTTGTTCTGATGCAACACTTGCAGGGAGCAATGGGGTTGCTTTGAACTGATGGTAGTTACGTTGATGTGTGCTGACCTTGCAGCTGACCATGATGAGAGCTATCAGAAGGACATCACACTGGCCATAGTTAAGCCAGATGCATTCCTGGCAGCTCATGTGGATGATATCAGGCAAGAGATTCTACATGCCGGATTGCAAATCAAAGCAGAGGGAGAGTTCGTACTGGACAAGGCATCAGCAGAACTGTTTTACAGAGAGCATAAGAATAGGAATTTCTTCCCACACTTGGTGTCGTTCATGTCCAGGTGTGTACGGCTGACCATGCTTGAACTGGTCACTCTTTTCATCTCCGTGTCAATTACGATTATCCAACGTATTCAGGTAGATCACAGTCATCGAATGTCGGTTATGGTCATGCGACCTATTCCTTTGGAACCACCACCGGTACTTTTGGAAGTGGCGGAAGGAAAAAAAGCCACGACGTGCTGGGTGAACGGGCCTGGGTTGCTGGTACAAATTTACCCCGCGGCTTTTTCTTTTGGCTGGTCGTTAACGAGCGACAACTTTTCTTTTGGCTGGTCGTTAACGAGCTGCAACTTCCGCAAGTACTGGTGGTTTAAATAAATTGCTGTAGTCTTTTCATGCCAAGGTACAGATATGTTACGATCCTGGTCATTCCCAAAGTGCAAATTCACAATGAAAGACAATGCCACCCAATTGCGAAAGAAATGAAAGCACTTGCGAAGAGATAGAGACCAGAGGAGAGAGAAAGAAGAAAAAGAAAAAGAAGAAGAAGATGTACACCAGCAAGACCAATGACAATTCCCCCTTATCTCTCCACCTTCCTCCGCCTCTCTCACTTCGCCAATCTTATTCTTCTCCCAATAAAAATAATAACAATGAGTGGATGAACCAGAATCAATATCCGAAGTTCCCTCTTACTGCTGACTCAGCAACAACAACAACAACAAGTCCACCATAGCTATGGATTCCCTCCTTCCTCCTCTCACATGCCTAGGCTATGGCGGACTACTGAGGGCCCTGCCCTCCTGTCCGAAGGACAACCCAAAGCAGCTATGGCGCTGCACTCCTGTCCGAAGGACAACCCAAAGCAGCTATGCCGCTGCTGACTGATCCGCCATGCCAGGCTCTGCCTCGAGCTTCCTTGGTGCGGCACTACCTCAACTGGGGCCTTCCAGATGCAGCGCCCAACAAGGTGATGAAGAGGGTGTCCACCATATCCAGGTGGGTGCCTCGCCACTCTCCTCCTTCGCCCCCTTCTTCCTCCTCCTCAGGCTGGGCTGCTCGCCATAGCCAGGCTGAGCGCCCAGGCTGCCCTTCACCTCCAGGTAGCGCTGTATCAGCCGAGCGCTCCGCTCAGCAGCATGTCGCCAATCCTTGCATACCACAAATGAGGAGGAGCTACTTGCTCCTCCGGAAGATATAGCGGCCTACTGGCCTCTTGGGCGGTGRCTTCCTAGGCCGAKCGGCCTCCCAGCAACCGGTACCTCCTCCCTTTCGGAGGGAAACATCATTGCAGGCTCYGCTATCSTCCGGACAGGCCCTAGACCCGGGCTACTTGGACTGGTACCGGMCYACCTCTAGCCTACCGCTACTGGGCCTCTAAAAATGCCAACTTTTTGTCTTCTTCTGCTCGGCCTCCAGTACCCGACGCTTCTACCACTACTTCAGTGGTACCGGCCTACCTGCTACTTGAGTGTTTTTCCCCTCTGCTCTAAGTGTCACGGGCCTACCCCCGCTACTCGAGTGTTTTCCCCCCTGCAACCCTCAAAGTCATGGCCACAGGTAAGTACCGGCCCTGCGGGGCCTTTCAACCAACAAGTACCCTTGCGGGTCACACACCCACTCAGCCGACAAGCACTCAGACAGGCATGCAAACCAGCAGGCACGCACACACACACAGACATGGAAATCACAGCAGAATGCGGGAATCTCAGCAAGGCATTCATTCCAGCGGCAAATCCCAGAAATCAGCAGTGTTCTCAGTCTGTGTTTTTGGCGGGTCATTACAGATACTTGTGGTGAGGGTATGGGCATAATGAACAGGTCGCTCTGATGCTTGCCTCAGCATTCTTTGCACAGAGTGCATCCGTCCCCAAGTGCCCTCTTTGCTGGCACTTGAAGCAGAGAGAGTGACTCTCGGTGGAGATCATAATTTAATAGGTTTGATCTCTCGCCTCGAAGTACCATTGCTTTGGCAGCTGGTGATGAATCTTCTCTTTGATGTCAAGACAGGCCATCATTGTATCGTGATGTGGGATGAGGAAGTCAGCGGTAGGAACGATCCAGTCACGCACTCCATACTGACAAATTCCTCTGCCAATCTGTTGTTCACAGCACCGAACAGTCCGTCTTTCACATTATCAAACTGAAGCCAGAAGTGCTATTTCATCATGCCTTGCCTTGATGGAGACGGTGTGTTCTGGATCGTACGATCTGGCCTCTGTGGGTAGACCGAATGACTTAAGCAGTGAATGTGATGGACTTGTTCTTAAAAAAATCAGATGCACCACCATAATGACATCTCTGCTTAAGGGTGAAAGATGGTTTGGGTCTTCGTAGCACGACGATTCCGGCTGGCTGAACCGGCCGGAAATTTTGGCCATATTATCTGGCACCAGGTTCATCCAGAAGTCTGGATCAACCTGTAGGCGCCACGTCGCACATCTTCTTTTGTTTGACCGGGGTGGGGTATTGCGTGTGGCAAGGCCTGCCCTTGGACTCGAAATTGGGGTTTCTGCCCATTTCATGTTTTGATTGATGGATTGATGGATTGATGGATTCATTGGATTCATTGCACTAACTGACTCACTGGCCAACTGAATGACCGACAGAGGTCATCATTGTAGTTGAGATCGAGGTTGTTGAAGTCGACGGCAACAAACAATGCACCACAGGAGGGCTGGGGAGGCGCGGAGTGGGGAGAGGAGGCTCAGGGAGGGAGGGGGATGCGGAGTCGTTGGGAGGAGGATTGTGGAGGCCGAGAGGTGGGTTGGGGAGGGCAAGAGGAGGCGCAGAGATGGGGAGAGGAGGGTCGGGGAGGGTGAGAGGAGGGTCGAGGTGGGCAAGCGGAGGGTCGGGGAGGGCAAGCGGAGGTGGGGGGGAGAAGGTAGAGGGGCTTTGCGTGACCACATGTCCCGAGAGAGAGAGAGAGAGAGAGAGAGAGAGAGAGAGAGAGAGAGAGAGAGAGAGAGAGAGAGAGAGAGAGAGAGAGAGAGAGAGATCGTGTCGAACTTACCGCTGTAACGGTAAGTTCAAATTACAAAAGGCCCAATCTGGGTTTTCGATCGCCAACCCAGATCGGGCCTTTTGTTGGTCGCTTGTCGTTTCCGTGCTATTGCTGAAGACTCCTGAAAGCTTGTCAGCGACAGCGCTCCAATGCTACCATCACCGTGCACCTATGAGACTCTGCAATCGCGATTGACTAGCCCTTTGCCAATTGAGGCGAAACGCGCACGTCAGCCGACAACCCAATCCAGTGTGGTTCTGTCAGAAGAGTGAAAGAACACTGCTATGATCACAGCCAGTGTTGCTTGAGATACTCTCTCCAAGAAATGGTGAGTCTTCGCACGCCCTTTGCCACCGAAGATGCTGAGTCGCAAATGCTTCGATGGAAACACATTGAGAGCGTTTGACCATGCCTTTGTGACTCAAATCATGCAGAAACATGCGACTTCTTGCACAAACACACAACTTACGCACAAACGCACGACTTCATGGACAATACAAACGAAGGATCCGATAGTGCTGAACACTGTCAAGATGATCATCGTTCTATCTGAAGTTTGAAATTGCAATGCTGTGTGGGAAAATCCATGTTATTCCAAACCCGAAAGTTTTGCTTTGCTCGTCGTCTCTACACTGAAGATGAAAGACCTCCCCGTCTGAACATGCGTCAGCTATCTGCTTTCGCTCTAACACCCATCGGAAGTGAAGCACGTATGTATGTAAAGCCACCGTTGACAATGTCCTCGCACCCACGGGTCAAAGCGTTCCCATTCCTGAAGATAATGGCAGAGCCAGGTGGCTACCCACAGCTATTCTAAGCACCCCGGGCGCAGTACTCGGTCGAAGATTGGCGCTACCCACACCTACTCTATGCGGGGTTGAAAGTGTCTCGGCGCAGCTGAGGTAGTGGAAGCTCTGTAAGGACATGCGGAATTCCGCCTCCTCGCCTGATGGCCATGGCAATGGTGAAGCTCCCGGATGGCAACTGCATAGACTCAGATGATGGCAGTGGAGAAGCCCCAGGATGGTGACGTCATAGACCCATGTTAAGGTGGTGGAGAAGCCACGGGATGACCCTGGCGCAGAGTCAGTGCCGGGCGGCTTGAAAGTCCCCCTGAGAGTTAGTGCCGAGCGGCTTGAAAGTCCCCCTGTCATCTCCCTCCTCTCACCATCATCAACATCCCTCACACACTCCTTATCCTGTTATCATCAATATAGTGTGATATATAAGTGACAATAACTAGTGAATAGGATTACAAAAGAATGAATGAATGAACGAGTAGTCAAGGTACAATAGATCTTTCTTACTCCTCTTTAGCTCCCTCTCTCTCTCCTCTCCTCCTGGTAGTGGAACTAGCTATGGCAGGTAATCCCTGCCCAGCACGGGGTTGTTCAAAGGATAACGCATCACTACAATGCCTCTCTCATCTACCGCCATGCCTCACTCCGTGTTAGGCCTTCTTGCCGATTCCCACCTTCTTCGTCCTCCTTCACTACAACTAAGTAGTGGTTTGACTAGCCAACAATGGCGACAATTGAAGAATCTTTTATATGTCACTCATGGTCAAACTTTGTTTCAACCAAGTGCTTTGTTACATGCACAGATATGCAATGTACGTAATAAACCGAGAATCTGCTATGTGATGAAAAGGACTGAATAGACAATGCGGTACGAGTAGAATCTCGACAAGCAATGTACATTCTCATTCATACATAGAGATGCTGAAGAGCGCAGGGAAGACTTTGATACAAAGACTGACCTGACAGGACTGACCTCATTCACGTAGTTCAGAGTAACGAAACAGAATGCTAGAGTACCTCTAACTAGCCCAATCAATGTTTGAACTCAGACTAAACTTGCATTGTATCCATCACTCAGTGTGAAGGAGCCTGGCGCTGTAACACAGGAAGCAAGCGCCAGGTCCAGACATACACAGACGAAGAGATAAGGATCAGACGAAAAGGAGGGAGAAGGATGGGAATGTCGTTAACACCAAGTCTTGGTCACCAATCCCAAATAGTCCCTCGTTGCCATGTCTGAATCCCCAAAAAGTCGAGTCTGGATCATATGTCACCAAGCCCAGTATCTCTTCTATCGTAGTCTGCAACTGCAGGGAAGTCAGAAGTTGAGAGGGTAAGAAGAAGATGGGGGACTGAGAAGAGGAAGAAGAGAACTCTCTCTCTCTCACTGTTACGAACCAGGTACTAACCTGTGATGTTGGCGCTGTGCTGCAGGTACCTCGAAGACGGAGCTGGAGCAACGGCGCTGCAGGTAAGTGATCCCTGGCCTCCGCCCATCATCTCTACCACTACCTAGCTATGGCGCCCAGCGCCGAAGACTACAGCTACCTACTGCGCCCAGCGCTGAAGACTACTAGCTAACGCTACTCTACTACAACGCAGCGCTCCCTCCAGAGTGCTGCTCCCGAATCCTGAAGACTACAACTGCCGAACTGCCTACCCTTGAAGTGCCTGGGAAGTCCCTAAGCACTTCCTCGGCCTGCCTCCTGACTGCAGGAGGGCGAGCAGGCCGAGGAGGCAGCTCTTGCCAATGCCGAAGTGTGCCAGGGGCTGGCGTGCAGCAGCCTGCTCGAGGCTGGCGTGGGAACAGTCTAAAGATAGGCTGTTCCCCAAAACCCTGGTTCGGTGCCTGAGTTTCAGGGCCGGTCGTTCTGATGAACGACCGAATATGGCCCTTAGGTTCAGGCTAAAAATGCTATTACCATTTTTAATCTGAACCGTCGCAGGGGCTGTAGGCCTTGAAAGTCAGGCTTTCGGCCTGAACTGAAATGGGGCCTATAAGCCCTGAATTTCAGGCTTTCGGCCTGAAATCCAGGGTTTTGGCCTGAATCCAGTCGGGCCTGCAAAATGGCCGTCGGGCCTGCAAAATGGCCCGTGTGTGCACGCGCTGCATGTAACATGCTTTCTCTTTGACCCTTCATGATAGCGCAGGACCTACCTGTATTTTGTACTTGACTGACTCTTGTAAACCTCCCGCTGCTCTCTCTAGCCCAATGTGGGCATCTATTACCTCCCTCCATAGCCAGGTACCTCCGCCTCTTGCTCCACTTCCCTCCATAGCCATGGAGAACTAAGCATTGCACTGAATGGCATACTCTTGCCTGGGCTTGCCGAGGACCTACCGACTGTGCTTCCTGGCCTACTGGTTCCCCCCTTTGGGCGGGAACATCATTGCAGACTGTATTCTACCCTCCCAGATCCTAACCTAGGCCTAATTCTGTCAAGATGCAGCCCCGTGCTATCATGACCCTACCTGCTATTGTACCGAACTTCAGGGCCTACTTGGGTTTCTGGAATACCCCTACCAGGTCCCTAATAAATTCTAGTGGGCTATGTTCTTCCCTGGCGATGCTAGAGTTTCCCATAAGTCTGTCTGAAGCCAAATTTCGATTCTATCCCTGTAACTATGTGTATTGTTTATGCTTCTTCCCCTCCCAGGACACAAACACAGCAGGAGAACATAATTAGCACACGGATGAGGACTTAGACTTAGCATACAGCAGATACACAGGCAACATAGCAAAGCACTCAGAAATCTCAGCAGATCAGACCACCAGGGAGCATTTTCTCAGAAAATGAAAAAATCTCAGACAGCAACTATGGGGGTTATTGCATGAGTGTCAATGTGAAATATCCTACGTAAATTTTAGAAGGAAGAAAAAACTACCAACTGTGCTTTCTGGCCTTTCGGCCGAAAAAACTTTAGGCTTACCCCCTCTTTACCCCTCCATCTGTCTCCTCCCCCAATCTGGATGGTGTGAATTCTTGTGCTGGTGTTTTTCTGTAGTGTATGGGCCCCACATGTCCATGGTGTCTTGCATTCACAAACAAGCGAAAAAGCTAATGGCTGCTGTTATATGAATCCCCTCCTCCACCTCCTCGGTTTTCTCCGACCCGTCCACTTGCTACCTACGCCTCCGGGAATCTCTCCTCCTTCCTAAACACAAGATGTCCGTTTTCTCCAAGGACCACAAGAGGCGAATGTCTCAAACAATAGCTCCGTATATGGCTCCCTCAAATCCATCCCGCATGTTTTTGAAGGACTACAATGATATCAATGACAAAAAAAAAAGAGAAAAAAAAGAGAGAGTTTACCGACAAAATGGAGTTCAACTTCAATGTCATAATCGATTATACAAAAAAATTGAGCACCACAGAGAGGTATACATAAGAAAACTAGGCTACCAGAGTGGCCCGGGACCACTTGCCCGACTGGGCCTAAGATAAAAATATTTTTGAACTCTTTTTTTTTTTTTGCAATTTGGTGAAGAATTTTGATGAGACTCTGAGGCAAAAGTTGTTCAGTTTATTTTTCTGCATAACATATTTTTCTTCCAGATTTTTTGGAGTTTTTTGTTACAAATTTATTAACAGAAGAATTAGGAATGCTTTTAGGTTCTCTATGGGGGTTTCAATTTAGTGCTTGGGCGTTGATGGAACGAAGTAAGTTAGATTTAGTATTTGAAATACAAAAAGTTTACAGATCCCAAGGTGTATATACATGTGATAATGTGACGAACATATAGAAATAATTGTTCGTCAAATGACATCTAAAATACGCTTGCCTCTTTAAACCACCACTAGCCCTGCTGTCATAATTTATGGGGGACCGGTAGCACGGGTCCATGAAGGCTACCGGTAGCACAGTGGGGGGAACTGGTGGAGTGGCAAAATTGGAAAATGCGTCAAATTGCCCCCGCGATTTGTTTCATGATTGAATGATTTTTATTATTTTTTTTTTTTCCCTAAAAAGATCACAACAAAATGTATGGACCCTCAAATTTTCAGAGTTGTTGAGTCAACTTCTGAGCGCAAAAAATCGTGGAAGTTAGGGTAGTTTTCGCGTTGGCCCACAAGTGGTAGAGTGGCAAAAATGGAAAATGCGACAAAATGGCGCAGCATTTATTTCACGGTCTTTGTTTTTCAATTTTTTGATATTTTTCCTGAAAAGATCACAACCTAATCTACAGGATCTCAAATTTTCAGATTTTTTCATTAATTCTTCGGAGCGTGAAAAATTGCCGAAGTTGGCCCTTGAAAATCCTTGGAACGGACCCGCCTGCACCTGCCATTTGCCGGCCCCCACAAGAACCCAGTCCGTAAGGCCAGGAAAACCGAATTTAGGCCGGCGTGGGTAGTGGTAGTTTAAGGCTGCTTTTCGTCTGCACCTGCCAGCTGCCCCCCCCCCCCCCCCCTAAGAATGCGGTCCGTAGGGCCAGGAAAGCCGAATTTAGGCTGGCGGGGGTAGTGGTAGTTTAAGGCTGCTTTTTGTCTCCATTACCAGCATGCTTTTTCGCAGTGGCTATAAGCAGTGGCTGTAGCCAATCCTCCTGTTTTTTGGGTAAATTATGCATTATTGTACTGGTTTGCTGGCTTAAGTGGTTTGCAAAGCACCGACTCGCCAATTGGTATGCTGATGTCAACTCATATAATCACCTTTTGAACATGTGGTGGGGTGGTTGCAAGGTCGTTTGCAGATCGACGTACCAGCCCTTTTGAGAGCGTAAAGGGCAGGTGTGTCCCTGTTGTTTCCCTTTAGGAACTTGTAGCATCCTGAAAGAGAATGTCAACATCGCTTCTGCATGCAAACAAGGATGCACTCTGCCAGTGGAAAAAGGAGGATAATACTATCCTTTTGGTGCATGTGGGATGTATGGGGCAGTGGCCCAGTCTATGTGATGCTGCTATCTGGCAGGGATGCAATAAAAAAATGGAGGCTGATGATTGGTCCTACTGATCCGGAGAAAGCGCGAAAGGACAGCCCTCTGAGGTGTGCAATGTTTCGACTTTTAAATTGATGCCTTGTAAGGTCTGTTCACAAAACTGTTTCATCGAAGGAGTTCTGTGAATCTGCATGTCTGTGTGTGTGTGTGTGTGTGTGTAAGAGAGAGAGAGAGAGAGAGAGAGAGAGAGAGAGAGAGAGAGAGAAGCTGGGGGGCAGGGAGTGGGGTTGGAGATGGCGGTGCGTACGCAAGTGAACTTGGCTGGTCAGTTTTAGCAAACTTCTGTCAAGGCACGTGCTTCATGTCTTGCTATTGTCTAATTCTTTTGTCTATCCGCAGTCCTCTACCTCAGTTCTCGGCCTAGCATAGGTGGTTGTCTCCTTGGCGCCCGCTTTCAACCTTCTTCAGGCAGCAGTTTATTGGTGCTTGACCACAATGTCGGGGTATGACCCCTCTCAACATTTCCGTGAAAAACTATGGCAATGTGTCGTTGCTTTGTCACACTTATGATGTGACCAGGATTCACCTCTCAAAGCTATGGTAGGGTTCTCACTTGTAGAGATTCAGGACCTGTAGTATTCTGTTTTAAATTTTAATGTTCAAGTTTTACCTGCTTCACTCCACCATTACTGTGTTTAAACTTCAATCCTCCCCTCCCACCACACCACACGCGAGAGGAAAGGGATGAAAAGGCTTTACCCGGTTGCAGGGTGAGGTCCGACCTTAACTTGCTTTCACGTGTGTGTACTTTCTAGTGGGCAGTGTTGGCACCGTGACTGTGACCAGCACTGTTCAGTGATTACTGAACGGCCGGTCACGAGACCCTGCATCCGTGAATGGCCACCGGTCACGTAGCTTTCGAGGATCTTCGGGACCCCCCGGTGTGGGGAAAGGCAGGAAGGGGGTGGTGCAAGGGGCCCCTACGGCCCCATGGTCGTACAAGTATATATATGTTACTATAAATGTATATATTCCGCAAATGGCCTGGTGGCTCAGTGGTTAGAGCACCGGCTGGAAATGTGCATTGTGGTATGAGGTCGGGGGATCAAAACTGTGCGGCGTCGCGCACGTCCACCGTTAGGCACTTTCATAGCGCCCAGCCATTCGCACACCCTCCTCGGGCTGACATGTGGTACTTATTACAGACACTGCCTGCGCACCACTCAAGGGGTTAGGTCCATGATTGTAGTATGCTGGTAGCGGGCTTTGGGGGGAGAGGACTGTTTGAGTGGTTGGCCTTTGGGGGTCTGATGAGGGTTGAGTGTCCGTGTGTGGGCTGTGTTGAGTGTGGTCCGATGATCTCTAGGTCTGTGTCGTATGCTCGTCATGGGCGGGGGTAGATAGGGGGGGTGGATAGGGCTTGGATTGGGTAGATAGGACTTTGTGTAGGGTCTGTGGTCCTGTTCGTGTGCGCCGCCTCGTTCATATGGGCTGCTCTGTGGAAGAGACTGAGTGCGTTTGGGTACCACGGTTGTTTCCCGGCCTCATGGTCCACCCACGAGAGTTCATACCTACATTGTACAATCCTGCGCCCCAGGTAGACCCCACCCTCTGCACACACCCTTGAGTAGTGGTAGTGGTTGCATGCTAGGCATGTACGATTCCCACGGGTGGCTTCAGGTTGATCTCATGATGCTTGTGGGCTGGGCTTCATCCGGGTTGGTACCTGTCTGAGTTCCCACTGCGGGTTCAGTTGGGGCGTGAGTCTGGGGAAGGGTTTCTACTAACTTTGTAGGTAAGGGTGTCATCTTAGGCAGGGAAGGGAGGGTTGTCGCATTGAATGTAGAAGGGTGGCTTCACCACCCATAGAGTCTGGATGATGTGATACACAGGTTCACCTAGCCTGTATCCGGGTCATCCTCGAGGATTCGGGGTGTCCCTATGGTAGCACCCGGGGTGTCTGTGGCTCCTACGAAGGTGTGGGTTGGTGTAGGTCTAGGTCTGGATACAGAGGTCCCGGTCGCACTGCTATAGGGCTTGACTTGCGATACGATTAGGATATAACAGGTCACAAATGATACCCCCTGGAGAAAAGACTGTCCCTGGGGTTGGCACAAGCCATCTGATCCCCTCACTGGTTGAGTACGACGACGGGCACCTCCCGAGGCCTACCATCCACCCTCTACTACAACACGGACTAACACACACACACACGAACTATACTCTCTTTTTGTGGTTGGATATGTCTTGTTGGTCTTGTTGATTATACACGGCCTAATTCTTTGCCCTGCTTTAGAGCATGGGCTGTTTGAATGTTTACGGGTGGCCACCAGTTCTCTTTGGGGGGAATGTATGTTTTGTGGGCCGGCGAGTAAGGCTTTCCCAGTTTTTTTCGGACCCTTAGCAGGGGGGTCGGTGCGTTCTTGGTGGAGGAGTCTTCTGTCTTAGGTAAGTTGTCTCTTATCTTCTTCCTCCTCTTTGGCAGTGATGCGAGTGTGTAGTTTGAGATGAATGTCGGGAATGCCAATTCTGTTATCTTTGCTTGTTTTTTATAAATGAGTTCTTGGTTTTGTGGGCCGATGCGGAAGTTTCTCCAAGTTTTTTCGGACCTTTGAGGGGGTCGGGTCGGTGCCTTCTTGCTGGAGTAGTCTTCTGTCTTAGGTAAGTTGCCTTCTGCCCTCCATCCCCTTATGGTTTGAAATCATACTTGCAACTGCACGAGCCACACATTTGTGCGGAGTTCCGTGCGGGGGGTGCCTGTGCGGAATCGTGCAGGTTTTTTTTTGTTATTATTATTTTATTTGGGAGGGGGGATGGCGGGGGTGTATGACAGGAAGGTGGGGATATGGCGAGTAGAGGGGGATATGGAGAGGAGGAGGAGGATCTGGCCGAGGAGGACGACGAGTAGTGAGGATGACGACGAGGAGGAGGAGCAGAGATGGGGGAGGAGAAGAGATGGACGGAGGGAAATGAGGAAGGGCGGGAGGAGGACGCGTGGGAGGAGGAGGAGACATGGACGTCGAGGAAGGGGAGGACACGAGGAAGGTAAGGAGACGAGGAGGCATGGAAGATGACGGAGTACGAGGAGGAGGAGACAAGGAGGATGAGGAAGGGCAGGAGGAGGATGAACAGGAGGAGGAGACATGGAGGGTAGGAGGAGGACGAAAAGAAGGAAACAGAAAGGAGAAGGGAGGAGGAGACATGGAGGACGAGGAACGGGAGGAGAAGCAGGGTGAGGCAGAACTCCTGCAAATTTGTTTTTTCATCCCGCTTATAATTTTGGTGGGGGGTCTCGAACGCACCTTTTCGACCGTCGACCTTCTTTTTTTTTTCAGAGGGGGTTGACGGGTCGTTCCCCGCACACGTCGTGCTCCGCACGGGATCGGTTGGGCGCGTGCGCCGCACGTAGGGAACTGCCCACACGAGCGCTTGCATGTATGTTTGAAATATATATGTATTCATCTGTATATATGCAAGTGCAAGGAACATGAATATGGACAAAGCACAGAAATCCAGATTGCAAAATCACACTGAAGTCCAAGTAGTCAAAGCAAGAGCAGATAGCACATGGAACTGAGTAACCATCCATTTGAGAACGATACAGAAGAATCGTGAGTCAATGTCCAAGCCCAACAGGGCAACACCAACAGCATAACCCAATGTAGCTCTCNCAGAAGAATCGTGAGTCAATGTCCAAGCCCAACAGGGCAACACCAACAGCATAACCCAATGTAGCTCTCTCTCTTGAATGGCGCCAGGCGCCCTACCTACTCTACAGCCTATCACTACAACTACAGTATGACAGCAACCAGGCAACTTGATGACCAGCGAGTGATGATGTCAACACCAATGCCGACCTCCTACCTCCACCAGGTACGTCTCTCTCTTCACCCACACTCTCCCTTGTTATCCCACACAGCGCCCTTCACCTCCGAAGAACCACCTTCGCCCTCACCTCCCCTGCGCCCTCAGGCAGCCTGGCTATGGCCGCCAGCGCCCTGTGCACAGGCAGCGCCCTACCGCCTAGTGCCTGCCTGTCTAGCACCTCATCCTAGCGCAGCGCAGCAGCTCGCATTAGCGCAGCGTGCCGGCATTGCCCGCAATGGCCAAGATCCCTGCCCACTCGCCCTG